ACACACACAGTTGAATTATTCGAGTCAGAATTATTAGCCCCCCTTTTAATTTTTGTCTCTTTTTTAAATATTTCCCAAATGATGTTTAACAGAGCAAGGAAATTTTCACAGTATGTCTGATAATATGTTTTCTTCTGGAGAAAGTCCTATTTGTTTTATTTAGACTAGAATAAAGCAGTTTTTAATTTTTTAAACACCATTTTTAGGTCAATAGTATTAGTATTAATTTGTTTTCCATCGTCTACAGAACAAACCATCATTATACAATAACTTTCCTAATTCCCCTAACCTGCCTAGTCAACTTAATTAACCTAGTTAAGCCTTTAAATGTCACTTTAAGCTGTATAGAAGTGTCTTGAAAAATATCTAGTCTATTATTATTTACTGTCATCATGGCAAAGAGAAAATAAACAGTTATCAGAAAAGAGTTACTATTATGTTTATAAATGTGTTAAAAAAATCTGCTCTCCGTTAAACAGAAAATGGGGAAAAAATAAACAGGGGGGCTTCATCTATGGTGTATTATTTGAGAAATATATAACACGCATTATCTTTATTATTATTATTATTATATATATACATATATATACATACATACATATATATTTTTTTTTTGTCTCCATTTAGTTTGTTTTGTTTTGTTTTTTTGTTTTTTCTCCCCTCCATCAATGCTGAATTAATGAGGATTGTTGAGTTGACCTTGTTTAATATATTATTTTAGTATTGTTTAGATATTCTAATGAGTCATGAGACCGTAGCATTCAAAAGAAACTCTAGACGTAAACTGCCTAAAGGAGTAGGCTTTTCAAAGATTAGCCATGTGAATAACGACTTTTTAAAACGTTTTCCACATTTTTTGAGTGCCTTGGACTGATTTAAGCTGTTTATTCTGATGAATCTCTTGCCCAAAGAGCAACCCCTGAGCACTTTTTGTTCGATTTTGGATTTTTATATAAGTTTGTTTAATATAATAAGTATACTTAAGTGGCGTTGAAGTATATTTAGTATATTTAAGTATACTTCATGTATTAAATATACTAACATTTATATACTAGTAGTATACTAGTAAGTGTACAACTTTAATACCACTTAGGACTGAAATGGGCCACTTTTTTTCTATAAATGTTTACTTTTAAGTGGCTTATAAGTATAACAGTAGTAAATTTGTGTACAAGTAGTCCACAGTTAAGTTTTTCAGTTGTACTGTAAGCAAGCTAATCACTATACTAGCCGTTTTCTAGTATTATAGTAATCAATATTTGAGGTGTATCAAGACAAGACAAGACTACATGTACTTAGCATATCTGTTGTTCCTTCCACTATGGTAGGTCTTTGTTGAATTATGTTATTTAAGCAGCTTTTATAAAAATCAGAAGAACACAATACTAGCGTGCATCTCAAGGCAAAACAATGGCACTGACATATTTAAGATTTGTCACTGTGAGTTGGGCCCAATTCTATTTTTTACCCCTTGGTTACAAGTAGTGTCCTGAAAAATATCCGTTTGAAAGGGTATTTATCCCTACCCCTTAGTCCTACGCCTTCAAGATAAAGAGAATTAAGACAGCCCTACCCCTTCACATGAACGTGCAAAATGAGGAGTAAGGGGAAGGTCTAAGTGGGAGAATTGGGATTGGGTTTTTTTTTTCAGTTCAGACCTCTTAAATTTCAAGCTATATATATATATTGGACTTGACTGTAAGACAAGTATATTTAAGTGCAATCTCAAGTACATTCATTTTCAGATAATTACATAAAATCTAGATTGAAAGACTGTGTTTTTTTTTTTTTAAATAAATATAATTACAGCACACTTGAATAAACTTATTTTTCAGAAGGGGGATGTTGGGCAGTTAAGCACTTACAAGTCTCAATGTCAGCAGAAGACAACTTTCCACTGACTCCAAAATGGATCCGAATAAATTTACCCTGTAAATAAAGCAAGGCTAATAAATAACAGACTCTTAAAACACACCATGAAAGCAATATAAAATATCCATACCAAGTGCACTTACAAATCGCGAGGAGTTGTCATTCCTGATGGTCTTGGCATTACCAAAAGCCTCCAGAGCAGGATTACACTGGATGATTTGATCCTCCAGAGTACCCTGAGAATCAAATTTTAAAAATAATTGTGTGGTACAACAATCGCCATATTGTGGTAAAATAATAATCCAAAAAAAAAAAATCCCAATTTAGCCATTGTTTAGGAATTAAGCACCTTTTTCTCCTGTGATGGATCCTTTTTGCCGCCTGGTGCTGCTGCAATGCTGGCAAAGTACTGGATTACTCTTTTAGTGTTCACAGTCTTTCCAGCACCGGATTCTCCACTAAGAATTGGAAACAGAATAGTTCATCAAAAGACTGATCAAAAACAGGACATGGACAGAAAATACTGGTTAAAGGAGGCCTGTTATTCTACGTAATCAAATTAATTACATACGTGATCAGGACAGACTGGTTTTCTCTGTCTGTGAGGGGGAAAAAGCAATCATTTTAGTTTGTTAAAGTATATTATAAATCTCCTGAAATTACTACAAGACAGTAGTCATGATCTGCTGATATCAGATTTTCTTTTTGGGATTAAACGCTTTCATTACACCATCCACTTGTTAAGTCGTGACGTATGATGATAATTCTGTTTCTGTGTCCAAGCCGCTACTCGTTTGAATTGAGAAAATGTTCGTTTATGACCACTTTGTAGTCATGTCACACATTAAAGTGAATTTTCTATAAAGTCATAGTGTACATGACTGCATCTCAGACACCAATATTTTAACAATTTATAAAAAATGAATCACTTTCTGGCCATCAGATATTAAGCATGGATATATACAAACAGTTGAAGTCAGAATTATTAGCCCACCTTTTGTTTTTTGTCTCTTTTTTTAAATATTTCCCAAATTATTTTTAACAGAGCAAGGAAATGTTCACAGTATGTCTGACAATATTTTTTTCTTCTGGAGAAAGTCTTATTTGCTTGATTTCGGCTGGAATGAAAGCAGTTTTAAATTTTTTAAACACCATTTTAAGGTCAATATTATTAGCCCCTTTAAGCTCATTTGTTTTTCAATAGTCTACAGAACAAACCATCGTTATACAATAGCTTGCCTAATTACCCCAACCTGCCTAGTTACCCTAAATAACCTAGTTAAGTCTTTAAATGTCACTTTAAGCTGTATAGAAGAGTCTTATTATTTACTCTCATCATGACAAAGATAAAATAAATAAGTTATTAGAAATGAGTTATTAAAACTATTATGTTAAGAAATGCTGAAAAAGAAATCTTCTCTCTGTTAAACAGAAATTTGGGGGGAAAAAAACGGGGGCTAATATTTCTGACTTTAACTGTGTATATATATATATATATATACTGCAATTATGATTTTTGAAAGTATTACATCGCTTTGTAAATGTTTATTAAAAAAGATTAAAAAAGAGACTAAGCCAAAAAGAAAATGAATGAATGAGTTACCATTTGTTAAGTCTCCCCATACAGTTCGATAAAGAAGTTGGAAAAGAATGAAGCGTCATCGTGTGACCCTTAACAAGCGGATATGTTACTATCACAATATTGACCTAAGCTACAAAAAAAGATTAATGTATGAAATTGTGTATTACCTTACTCTGAATACACGTTCAGAGTAAATAAATGTTTTCAATCAATTAAATTGCAAACATATTATAAAATACAATAGGTGACGCTTTAGTGTAAAGTCTCATTAGTAAAACCTAGTTAATGTGTAAAAATCAACTGTGAGAAACAGCTATATTATAGTTGTATATAGGTTATAGTTAATTAAAAATAATACAGCTGAATTTGATTAGCTATTATTAGTTATTAACGATTATGACTTTGGATCACCTAAGATTTGTTCATTGCAAAAATGACTTCAGCTAAATTAAATAATGTTGAATAGAGCCCTAGCATACAGGGTTAACAAACAAAAAGCCTTTAAACAGTCACATATTTCAGTGTTGTAGGCCAGATTAACATCTAAAATACAATAACTTAATACAAACAAGTTTATTAAGTCGTTAATTTGCTGCTGTAATGAAAAACCACTGGGAATACAACAGCATCAGTGATATAATAATAATTAATATTTGTGATATTTTGACGTGCCCACAAAATCAATATTGTGCATGTTCATTATTATTGGCTCATTTCTACAAGTGAGTTAATCACCTGACAGCATGTACTGGTAGGCGTTGTCAGAGATGGAGAAGATGTGAGGGGGAGCTTCAGTCCTCTTCTTTCCTCTGTAAGCAACGACCACCTCCTGATTGTACACTGGCAGCCACTTGTATGGGTTGACAGTGACACAGAAGAGGCCAGAGTAGGTCTGGAAGAGATCGACAGCAGCTTTAGATCTGCTCCTCCATCATGAAGTGAGTGTGAGAGTGTTTTAAGACTCCACTCACGTAGATCATCCAGGCTGCGTAACGCTCTTTGAGGTTAAACAGCACAGCAGGCTCGTGCAGGAAGGTGAACATCGCCATGTCCTCAATCTTATCAAACTTTGGCGGGTTCTGAGGGTGACAGTCAACCTCCTTCACAGTGACGGTCTGTGGATAACAAAGTTTTGACAGTAAAAAACCTGAATAAGCATTCAATATTGTAAAATATAAGTGCATAAATTAGACCTTACCTTCCCAAATTCAGTCTCAACAGTGACTTTATCACCGTCTCTACTGGTGACGGAGGCTTTGACATACTCAACCTCGGGATCAGGCACGAAACACTCCTTCTTCATGTCAAAAGGACGAGTTTGGGCCTCCAGACGCTCCTTATCTGATTTACGTAAGAACGGAGCCGCAGGCCCAAACTCTGCCATCACAGCATCCCCCATCTTTCAGTCAATCTGCGGAAGAGATGACGATATTCTCTGATTTATTAATATGCTGTTTTATTAACACAGAACACATAAATAGTAAAACAACAGAAATGAAAATAACATAATAGCCATGGCAATCAGAATATTATTGGTAGTATTTAAATAATATTTAGCATTCATAGTCATTATAATAATACCAATAATAATACTAAAATCAGCGATAATAGAAGTAATATTTCTGTGATGAGGACAACCAGTAATAATATATAATATTTTAATTAAATATAATTTAATTTAATATAATATAATAAAATGTAATATAATATATTATAATAAAAAAATATAATATAATATAAATTGATATAATATATTATAATATAATATTATATAATTTTATGCAATATAATATATTACAAAATAATATAATTTTATATAATAAAATATATTTTAATATAATATAATATTATTTTAAATAGTTTAATATAATATAACATAATATAATTTAAGATAATATAATATAATAAAGTATAATATGCTTTATAATATACATAATATAAAGGTAATAATAAGAATAATAATGTAAAAACAATAGTAATAGTCAAATAATTATATAAATAATACATACATACCATACATACACAGCATACTGCATCTATTATAGCTTTTGTGTCAGTGATTATATTTATTATTTTATTTATGCCCACATATTTCAATCCCAGTTGTGTGAAGGGGATTCAATGTGTGAATTTTACTATGATAAATACAAATCAAACTTTTAAATCATTTGTTTCTTTGTCTTTTCAGAGAAGGTCTAAACTTAATATACTGGCAAGATATTTAAAATTCCCCTGCAGGACATTATTATTATGACATCCAGTGAGCCTATGAGGTGTAATCAGGCCACACCCAGCAGTTGGAGGAGTGAGGATATCAGATTGCAGAAAAGAAAAGTTGACAGAGAGATTCGAGTTTTCAAAGATGACTATAAAGAGATGTATGCGTTAACTATGATCCAATCCAGCACTAAATTATATTTGGAGTTAGGAAGAGTGTAGTTGTGCTTTGTTTATGAAAAAAACTGACACCTTAATTGATCAAAGTTGACACTTTTGCACTTGTTATTAATTTTCAATGGCATCTTATAAATATCTTAAATTGTTGATTTGCTATGCATATGCATGTCTTGATAGTGTTTTGAGAACTAAAATCACACATACAATAATAGACAGCACTTAAACATAAATAATATATATCATATTAGAATAAAATATACAATAATATTCTGCCTTACCAGATGAAAGTGTGCCTCGCCAGATGAAATCCAAGTCCTTGCAATGAGAAGGAAACACCATTAATGAAATGTCATCTTTTTTTATTCTTCACTCCTCATCATCAATGTAATGGAATTTTAACACTTAAAATAAACATATGTTGTAAATTAAAGATTAAATATTTTCTCATACAAACTTACGTCTTACCTTTAGGTGGTACAATGATGTGAGCTTGCAGCATTGTGCGGTAATGAATCTCTTATATAGAGGCACAATGACTGTGACGTTGGCCATCTGTATTTGGTTCGGGTCACTTGTGTGTGTGTGTGTGTGTGTGTGTGTGTGTGTGTGTGTGCATCTCTTTTTGTGTGCCTGAAAAAGCTCTTTGTAGGAGTTACAGTAGTTTAGCATGTGGTTTGTGGTGGCAGCGTCAAAGATCAGAAAGGATTCACAATCGTGCTATTTTTGTCTCCTATGTAGATGTGAATTTTTGAGCATCAAATCTTTACTAAATGTATTTTTTTATATACTAAAATTTATTAAGGAAGATCACTACATTTATGTATTAATTATATTGTATTATAGTAGGCTCTATGTCTTTGCTGACTTTACTAAGAAATGTTACAAAATTTACATATTAAGATTATTTATAAATTTTATATTTATAAAAGTTATTATATTTTATAGTTTTAGCTATTTTCATTTACGAAGATTACAACATTTATTTTATTATATTATATTATACTATATTATATTATATTTATTAATTATTATATTTATCGATTGTTATATTATATTATATTTTTTATTATTATATTTATTAATTATTATATTATATTATATTAAATGGTTTAATTAGGAAATATTGCAACTTTAATATATTAATATTTATTTTTCTAAACGTTATTATATTTTTAAATACTTATATTTAAATAATATTATATTTAATAGTTTTAGCTATTAGGAAAATCACATTTATTATATTATATTTATTATTACTGTTATTATATTTATTAATTATTATTATGTATTATATTATATTTTATTATAAGGTTTCGTTAGGAAATATTGTGACATTGATATATTAATATTTATTTTTCTAAAAATTATTATATTTTTCAATGCTATTACTTTATATTTAATAGTTTTAGCTATTTTCATTTACGAAGATTACAACATTTATTTATTAATATTATTTATTTTTAAACGTTATTATATTTCTAAATGCTATTATATTTAAGAGTTTTAGCTATTTTCATTGAAGGAAATTACAATAATTATGTTTTGATATTATTTATAAATTATATTATATTTATAAATGCTATTATATGATATTTAAGAGTGTTTCTATTTTGATTTAGAAATACTACAACATTTATGTATAAATACTTTTATAAATATTATAATTATTCTCATTTGTAAGTCACTTTGAATAAAAGTGTCTGCTAAATTATCAAATGTAAATATATATTATAATTATTCTGCATAATTTATATAATTTGTTTAAAAATTTGAGTCAAAAAAAGCAGAATTGTTCAAAACTTAATTAGCGGTCAGATTCCAGCATAATACATAGACTGTCTACAATGCAGACAATGTTGTGTCTCACATTATGGATAGTGCAAATATTTCATGTCACGTCCACATGATGTGCTCAGCTGCGCTAGGATGCTTGTCTAGAACTGTGTGTCATTTTCTGTCCTCAAAGAGAGAAAGGCATGCACTGGGAATTTCACAGGTTTATCTTTGTGCTCAAGGATAAAGGCAAGGTAACAATGGCTCACGAGTAAGACGGCTGTCACGGAACAGTAAAATTGTCAGTAGACAGCTGTAACGCAACAATGGATATCTGCACTTGCGACCTTTTGTTCTCATCTAATGCACAGACAGCTGCAACTCTTCTGCTTGTTCTTGTTTGAAGCTTTGACCTTTCTTGGCTACCCAGTGATATATCCATCACTTGTGCTTCACAGATTGCCCTGTTGAATAAGTCACTTAAACAATAATAAAATAATAAAATATCTAAAATAATTTTTAATTTAAATTGCATTTTTGATCTTTAATTTTTACTCTGAAAAGTAGTTTAATTACTCAGAAGAAATTTAAATATTTGAGTTTATACTACTTAAAATTCTGTTAAATATTAATGCATAGAAAATAGCAATTAAACTCTTTTCAGTATTTAAATTGATGTCAAACATAATTTTCAAGCTTTACTTGAAAATATTCCTTAAAAAGAGTTAAATATATATCAAAACAATACAAAACAGCTCAAATTAAAGATATTTTTATTACTTTCAATGAATTTCATACAACTTTTTCAACACATTTCTAATCATAATAGTGTTAATAACTCATCTATAATAACTGATTTATTTTCTCTGTCATGATGACAGTAAATAATATTAGACTAGATATTCTTCAAGACACTTCTATACAGCTTAAAGTGACATTTAAAGGCTTAACTAGGGTAATTAGGGTGAAGTTAATTAGGGAAATCATTGTCAATCCAATACAAATATTGCTTAAGGGGGCTAATAATATTGACCTTTAAATGGCTTTTTAAAATCATATAAAACTGCTTTTATTCTGAAATAAAACAAATAAGACTTTCTCCAGAAAAACAAATATTAGAGGAAATAAAATAAATTTAGGAAATGTTGGAAATTGGTGTAAAATATCAGGGTGTAGCGGGGTCTTTTAGGCCTTAAAAAGTCTTAAATCTACAGAAATGTTTTGTTTTAGCAGGTCTTAATTTTCTTTGTTCATGTTTAGCTACCCATTCTGGCCAACACACATCCAATCATTAAAAACTTATCTCAATTATACTTTTAACTTTTTATTTAAGAACAACATTTTTAACTCTATTTATCATATTGGTTTAATTATTTTCCAGTTGTTTAAATTTTGTGTATTTACTGCTGAGGAAGCAGTCCTGTTGTGCATACTGCTGTTTATGTATTATAGTTCTTTAAAACATTTTTCTGCTTTTTTTTTTTTTTTTTTTTTAAGAAATATTGTTGGAATGAAGTTTATGTATGCAACTAGAGCTTGCTTGTTTTAACAACATTTAACATTTTAGTCAGAATTAACTAAAAGTCAGAATTAACTAAAATATTACATTTTTAATTGTTAAATTATTATCATTGTATTATTAAATTTATTAAATTATTTTTAAAAAGTTTGATAGGGCAAATAAAAAATCTTTTCCAACTGGGCTATTCGAAGAACTCCTTGGCGTTTGTAAAACGCTAGCTTGTAACCTTCAGTTGAAAAATATAATTATTCTACAAAATATGTTTGTATAACAAATAATAGAATTACTCTGCTCTCTGAAATGACTAAGACAAAACTGTTGAATTCAGTAATTAGGGCAAGGACATTATAAGTAGATTACCTAAATATTTACAGTAATCCCTTACTTTTTCAGTAATTTAGTCACAGTTACTGTGTGACAGATCATAGAAAGGTCATGTTCAATCATTAAAACCTATTTCTCAAGTTTTTTTGATGATTTTCAAAACAAATGCTTGAAACGGTGCAGTTTCCTACAGTTGAAGGCAAAATTATTAGCCTGTTTTCAAATATATCACAAGTGCAAGGAAATTAAGTGAGCTTAATTTTCCTTAAGCAAGGAAATCTCTACAGTATTTCCTATATATAGATTATTTTACTTCTGGAGCAAGTCTAAGGGCTCTATTTTGACGGTCCATGCTCAGAATGCAAAGCACAGGGCTCAAACTCATTCAGGGTGTGTCAGAATCCACTTTTGCTAATATAAGGACGGAAAAATGCGCTTTGCGCCATGGTGCATGGTCTAAAGTTATAGGTGTGTTTTGAGAACAAACCAATCTCATCTCCCATTCCCTTTAAGAGTCAGTTGTGTCACGTAATGGCGCATTTGCTATTTACATGATGTAAAGTAAGTGTAAGTGAAAAAACGGAGTGTTTTATTAGCAAGAAGACAGATAAACAGAGCATCTACAGCGCAAGAATGAGAGATAAATGATCTACTTTCACTTTCAGTCTCGTGGATAGGGAAACCTTGTACACACAGACATCAATTAGTCTATAAATAATTAATTTAGTTTGTTAAGTGCAAATATTTGTTTCAAAGCTATTTCTAAATTCAGCTCTAATTTCCAGCAAACAAATAAATGAACAATAATAACAAAATGTGCTCAAAAACCTCAGTTATATCCAAACACACATGCTGTGCCCCATATGGTCTAAAACCTGACAGGTGGACAAATCTAAGCTTGTTTCCAATAAAACAAGTATAAATATGGATATAATAAATAATACTGCTAATAATAATATCATTATCCAAAAGCAAATTGTTATGAATGAACTGAAAAAACCTCCCGAGATGAAGAAGGCATAAAAGCAGTGGTTTTTATATTTATGTAGGCTAGAAAATAATATGTTTTGTAATATTTTAATCCTTTATATTTATATCCTAGATATATCCTTATTATATCCTTAATATTTAAATTATTTTTCATATGTAAAGATACTTGTGTATTGCTCTACATCTTGTGTGTATTAAGCAGTGTGTAAGCGAGGCGCACAACCATTGCGCTCTGCGCTGGACAATAGACCGGCTTTGTTCTGGTCTTATGAAAAATCTATTATAGTTTCTCAAAATAGCAACGCACCAGCAATACACCTCAACACTCCTTCCTTTTTAGACCAGAACGCCTATGGCCACACATATAAGCGCAAATGCATTTGCTATTTAAACAGCGTATCGCAAAATGACACTTGCGGCAAGCTGAAACTAGCAAACAACAATTGCATCGCAGCTTGAGTATATATATATATATATATATATATATATATATATATATATATATATATATATATATATATATATATATATATATATATATATATATATATATATATATATATATATATATATATATATATATATATATATATATATATATATATATATATATATATATATATATATATATAGATA